TGGACACCGAAATAACGTGAGTTTGTTGTTGGGCACCACGAAAAACTGGTAATTAGCTGATGGACACTTGCAACCTTATTTTATGATTCTGCCCTTGCGTGGCTCCAACACAATATTCTCTCAAGTCCTCATCCCTATTTACCCAAGATATTTTTGATGTTCTTGTTAGCAATAGCTAATCGCTTTTTGGGAATTGAATTTAAATTTTTCTGGATCACACCGTCAGTCCAAAAGCTAGGGAAAGCAAGGAAGCAGCGGACTCACCAATGCACTTGCCGGAGCTCTCCTTGGGAGGCGGCCGTTGCGGTTCATCTCGTCCAAGAAGCGATCGACATACTTCGATCCCTCCTTCCTGCCGGCCGGACGTCTTGTCGAGGAAGTGGAGGTCGCGGAGCCCCACCTGCGCGTTGGACTGCATCCACGTCATCCTTCCCCCCGGTCGCATGCCCATCCCGGCCACCCTTTCCGGCACTAGAACGACGACGTCGACAGCAACTGCTCCACCCCATTCGCCAACGCCATGGACGACAGCATCGACAGCAACTACGGAGCTCGAGTTCGGCGAGCTCTACCACAACGGCCAGATCCAGCCGCGAACCTTGTCCCCGCCCCCGAATCTCGACCCTGACAGCGATGACGATGACGACTGCTGCCCTGTGCCAGTACGAGGCTGTGAGCCATCGTCGCGGAGCGGATCCGCGCACCACACGCACAAGGTCCATGTCGTCGCTCTGGATCTTGGCTGGGCTCTCTTGCACTCGGCTGGGTCGGAGGAGCTAGCCGCGAAGGCGTCGCATGAGGATCCTTGATGCCGCCCAGGTCCCTCGAGCTCCGCCGCCGCCACCCAACTGCTGGTCGCTGTCGTCCTACTGCCAGCCTCGTCGAACTAGAGGAAGATCCAGCGAAGAAGACAAGTCTTACAGGTAGGCCCCACAGAAGAAGTTTGACAAGGGTAAATTTGTCTTTAATGAGTGTTTCTCTCTCCAATTTCTCCATAAATAGTAAAATAATCTTAGGAGTGTTCATCAGCTAATTATCAGTTTTTTGTGATGTCCAACAGCAAATTCGTATTGTTACGGTGTCCACCAGCTAATTACATATTTTTTGAATGCCCTGTAGCAAATTTTGCCATGAATGAATACTTACATAATATATCCTAGAGTAAATGCAGTACTGAAATTAAAAGCACACTAACATGATTTTGTCCTTATAAATATGCTTGCATGTAGAATAACCGAATTTCTGAAATTAGTGGCACATTAGCAGGATTAAATCCCTGAATTAGGTTTATTGAGCAATTTACATGTTCTACAATTTGATAATTATGGCAAGATCTGTACTTTATATAGTTGAATTATAACCTATGAAATCTGACATTGAATATAAAGAGATGGTGACTGATTTCTTTCGATGATTTACTACTACTATCTATATGTCCTGACATCAATGTATGCTTTACAGAACAAATAACACAATTTATGTCATACTTGATTAGAATGGTTGACGAGGCCAATAATTGAACTATTGATCAACTAATTATATATAAGAAACTTATCCAGATGCTATGCTCTAAATCTAAACAGTTTCTATAGACTATCTACTATAAACGTCTATGGTTTTCTACTCATTAATCTTATCACCCCAATTTAATTCTTTTTACTGGAACACACTACTCATCTTCTATACCTGTATATGCACATTAATCTGAACTACTGGTGCCATCTGGACTTTTACTAAATTCTGGAGGTTAAATCCAGTAAGTTATTACTATCTCTAATTAACTATTTATAAAATCAAGATTCATCTTACAGGGTCTTTTGGTCTTTACTGAACCTTATCCCACATAACTAGTTATATATCTAGTTTTTAAGCCCAACAGCACAATTACCATACTTCTAAGCAATATAAAATATTTCTTGCTGCTAGCTACATGATGATGCATATAATTTTGAACTATAACTAATCTTTCTACTTGTCAGCTAAATCAAAATATTTATACCCTATTGGTTACACATGTTCTACAACTGAAATTATTATATGTTCCTTTTACTGATTCAGAGATGCTCTTGTTCATATTCTTTTTTTTTAATAATGGAAATGGGCTACATCTCCGGCCTCTGCCCGTAGGCACACAGCCAAAAAATTCAGACGTGAACAGAAAAGTTAAAAAAAGGCGAGATGGGACAAACCCCCAACTTCTGCCGATGATATGATCTACTAAAATAATATTTTTTTTCAAAATCACGTGAATACTATCACGAAATTCTGTAGGTACTACGCCATCCAAACTGGAATAAAAGTTCCTTGGCTACTAATTCTAAGCGTGTAGCACCATTGCGCATAGTATCCTGTTGTTCCTGTGAAAGCATCATACACCAAGAGTGGAGCCAATTGGAACACATGAAGATAACCTGCATGATGTTAGACATTTTTTTATGGTTAAAAACTATATCATTACGGCAACGCCAAATTGACCAACATAAAGCTCCAAACAAAATCATTTTTTTTGTGGGTCTAGGTACTCCCCTTAGCCAGTCACCAAAAATATCTTTTGCATTGTGGGGAGAGGGATGTTGAAGGCAAAGAAGACACATCACCAAGCAAAACGTGCAATATGACAGTCAAAGAAAAGATGTTGGATGGTCTCTTGTGTATTACAAAAACAACATTGCTTGTTTCCCCTTCAATTTCTCTTTATGAGATTATCTTTCGTCAAGATTACTTTTTTTTGTGAAGAAACCACATAAATACTTTGATTTTTAGTGGTACCTTTACCTCCCATAAGATCCTCTTGTGGATTCTTACATTGGAATTGATGATCGCATTATACATGGATTTGACCGAAAAATGGCCATTTTTATGTAGCGACCAAATAAAGCAATCATTTTCATTTGACAGGGTTATGTTAGCTAGTCGAGAGATCAAATTATTCCACTCAACTAACTTTGGTCCTACAATTGATCGTCGGAATGAAACATTCAACGGTGTTGTGCTCATAACCTCTGCCAAAGTAGAATGTCTTTTTTGGACCACATTGTACAGAGAAGGATATTGATATTTGAGAGGTTGCAAGCCCAACCATGTGTCTTCCCAAAATCTTATTTCCATCCCATTACCAGGTTTAAAAGATCCATACTGAAAAAATTGATCTTTTACTTTCATTAGGCAAGCCCAACCATGTGTCTTCCCAAAATCTTATTTCCATCCTATTAACAGGTTTAAAAGATCCATACTGAAAAAATTGATCTTTTACTTTCATTAGGCCAGCCCAAAATTGGGATGTTCCTGGTTTGTGTGACATGTGGGAGAGGGGTTTACCCTTTAAGTACTTGTTGCGCAAAAGGTTTTGCCATAGGCCATCACCATTAAGAAGCTTGAATAGCCATTTGCTTAACAAACATCTATTCATGATATCAAGATTTAGGACACCCAGTCCACCTTGATCTTTTGGCCGGCATATATAATCCTATTTTGTTAACCGATATTTCTTTTTCTAGCTATCACTGCTCTAGAAAAAGCTCGATCGGTAGTAATCCAATCTTTGAAGTACACCTCGAGGTATTTCAAAAAAGGATAACATGAACATGGGAAGACTCGAAAGAACCGAGTTAAGAAGAACCAATCTCCCACCATAGGAGCTGTTTTTGCCCTTCCATGTGCTAAGTTTTCTTTGAAACCTATCCTCCACAAATTTCCAATCAGAATTTTTGAGTTTTCGATCGTATATGGGGATTCCTAAGTATTTGAATGGAAAGGAACCAGAATTACAACCAAACAGTTGTCTATATTGGTCCTCCATTTCCTTAGCTCCCCCAAAGCAGAAAATTTCACTTTTATGAAAGTTTATTTTCAGCCCCGAGAGATGTTCAAACACACAAAGAATGGCCTTCATGTTTTTTGCTTGTTCAAAATCATGTTCAAGAAATATTATTGTATCATCGGCATATGGGAGAATGGACAAACCATCATCCACTAAGTGTGGAATTACCCCTCTAATTTGGCCATCGGCTTTGGCTCTTTCAATAAGAATGGCTAACATGTCAGCCACTATGTTAAAAAGAATTGAGGACATTGGATCCCCTTGTCTTAAGCCTTTGCATGTCCGGAAATTTTTTCCTACATTATCATCTTGTTCATATTCTAATGGATGAGAATGCAACACACAACTCCTACACAGCTCTGATTGTCCATCCTGTGGAGAATCATGCCATCCTCAATCCGCAATCCGCAATCCACAATATTCAAAGCATACATACTAATGTGAATTGTCTGGATCTTACAATCTGGATCGGAGGTTCTCACAATGCAAAAGCATCAGTGGTCCAGGTTCCAACTAAAGGCATTGCCTCGTTGGTATGCATCTCTTGTTTTTAATCTGTCTGTTGCAAGGTTATTAAGGCGGTATGGCGAGCTAAGGCGCTGCATACCCGCCTCAACGCTATTGCGATATGGCGGTAAGGCGTGGCGATGCCCTAAGAAGGTACCCTGCTAGCGATTAGAGGGGAAATAAGGAATAATTTGGTATGGAAAAATTAAAAAATGACAAAACAGAACATCAAACCAACCCTCCCAGTAACCTATTGGTCAAACATTCTGGCCTAAAAGCATCGCGCATTAGATGTCCACAGCCGCCGCCACATGAGAAAACCAAGCGAAGAAGAGAGGAAGAAAACCAAGCGAAGAAAAGAGGAAGGAAACAGGAGCCCAGCCGAGTAGAGGAGGGAAGCAGTGGATGTAGCAGCGAGGATGCCAGCGGGGACGTGAGGGAGACAATCTACCGTAGCCAGAGCTGATGGTGATGGGAATCGTGGATTCTGAGTCATCGCCGCCGCTGCTAGGGTTCCAGATGAGATGGAATCCTCTCTCTCTCTATATCTCGCGGTGATGTTTTAGGGTCACCATAATCCGAAATTGCTAATTAGCGCCCAGTTGCGCTCCCCCCTCCCCGCGCGCGACTGGGCACGTGGCGCGATGGGGGAGGGGGAGGGCTGAGCGACGCGATGGGGGAGGGGTCACGTGGCGCTGGTTGGTTTTTTTTCGGTTTTTTCCGTTTGGTTTTTTTCCGGTTTTGGTTTTTTTTCTTTTCCTTTTTTGCGGTTTTCCTTTCAGGTTTTTTCTTTCCGATTTTTTTATATATACGTATATAAACTTTTTATATGTACATATACAAAGTTTGTATACATGTATACAAACTTTGTATATACACATACAAACTTTGTATATGCATGTATATAAAGTTTATATACAAACTTTTGTATACGTACATATACAATGTTTGTATATGTGATGTTTTTTTTTGTTTTTTCAATTTTTTAATACGTACATATACAAAGTATACAAAGTTTGTACACATCGTATATAAAGTTTGTACATGTATATATTTCTTTTGATACATTAGAAATATATATTTTTTATAGTAGTAGTACTAATAGTTATAGTAGTAGTGTAGTACTAGTAGTGTACTGTAGTAGTACTAGTACTACTAGGGGGCACCGCACGGCAGGCTGGGCGTGCGTCCAGTCGCTTGTGGCATCATCAATGTTTACTACCTACTTTATGAATAAGGGTGGGCCCTGCATCAGTGGGTATTAGTTGTTGTTGTAGCCACAATGGTGAAAGAACAAAAGTGGGTAGTAAGCTGGACCCCACAATCACTAGCCATGAGAGAAAGATGAGAGAAATCATTTGTTTATTCCTTATGACTAGGTAGTAAGTATATGACCTGGTATTAGTTACTTACTACTCCCACAATGTATACAACCTGGTAGTAGTAGTATTTTATTCTTTATTATCCACTTTAGATGTACATTGTAGATGCTCTGAGTGGATGTAAAATCCGGCTCCTCTAACTGCTAGTAAAGAGTATACAAAACAGAGTTAAACTAGGACCACTAGGAGGGATATTTCTTGCAATTGTCTGTAGCAGGTTCAGCTCACGTTGGCGACAAAAAAACTAAAAAAGTCACAAAAGAATAAAAGCAAAACAAGTAATTCCTCCGTTTTACGATGTAAGTCATTTTAACATTTTCCACATTTATATTGATGTTAATGAATCTAGACATATATATCTATATAGATTTATTAACATTAATATGAATGTGAAAAATGGTAGAACGATTTATATTGTGAAACGGAGGGGTAGATATTTAGATGTGAAGCATTTACACATCATCCATATTTTGCTCCTCAATTTTGTACTACTTATCGTACTTCCTTGTACGTGCGATTCCATTCATTACTTCTTGTTTGGGTAAAGACTATCTTATCAGCTTAAGTGATTGCGATGTGTTACCCAAACCATTTAACTCGAATGGATAAAAGTCATGTGACACCAACATCATTAAATCTTAACTAATTAAAAGATTCATATTTTTCCGTTCGTCACATGATTTTCGTCCGTATGCACGATTTTTCACCCGTCCGTGCGATCCGTCCCTCCCAGAGTCCGAGTCTGTATTAAAAAAAAATCCCCGAGCTAGATCCCCAAATCAATCAATCAACCAGACAACCAAAAACAACACGAAAATACCAAATTTAACCTTAACCTCATGAATTTGATCACCACAAGAAACCTAATACCCATGTATTTCCTCCCTCCCAATCCGATCCGATCCGGCAATACAGAAAGTCAAACAAAGGCAATCATGTATGAATTTGCTGGCAAACAAGAGGCAGCAGGAGGCACGTCGGGTTGCAGGCGACGTGCGGCGGCGGAAGTGTTTGGCGCGGTCGTTGGGCTTGTTGTAGGATCGAGATGTCGACTAGAGGGGGGTGAATAGGCGATTTAAAATTAAATGACACCTAATCAAAACTAACCTAAGTTACTAGGCTCGGTGAGGGACAAGACTAACTAAGCAACTAAGTTATGTTTTGCAATCCTGGGGTGAAAGTGGCTCAAGTATATCACTAGGAAAGTAAATCACACTTCCTAAGTCTAGTTTAGCAATCCTAGGGTGAAATGATCTCTAGTATGTCTCTAGAAATATAAATTGCACAAATGTAAATGCAACAAGTAAATGAGACAAGGAGACGAGATTTTTGACCGAGGTTCGGAAACTCGCCGGTTTCCTACTCCCCATTGAGGCGATCTCAACTCCACCGCTCAACCACGAAGCCACCGTACGCCCCCTTCGTCAAGGGGTGGGCAAGGCGGGAGCCGGCCCACGGAGAGGACTACCCAAGCCTCGATCACTAGGGTAGTTCTTCCTTCACTCCGAAGGTGGTGAACTTCAAACCACTCACAAACCGGCACCGGGCCTCCTCCACAATTTTCTCGGAGAGGTCACCGGGAAACTCCTCCACAAGCCGTCTAGGAGGCGGCAACCTCCAAGAGTAACAAGCAATGACCCGGCGTGGAGATAATCAATCAAGTGCCACACTAGCTCTACAATGGAAGCAAATGCACTTGACTCTTGGCTAGAACAACCTCAACCACTACAATGGATGAACACTAAGCTCAAAGGTGTGTGAGAGAGGTGCAAGGGGTGTATGCAATTGAATTGGGTGCCAAGAGAATCCCCTTGTTGCTGGAGGGGGAGTATTTATACTCCCACCAACCAAAACTAGCCGTTGGGGGCGAAATCCCCCAACTCAGTGCTCTGCCGGTCTGACCGGAGGTATGTGGCCGGTCAGACCATACTACTCTACAACAGCTAGTTTTCTAGCCGTTGCAGGGCTGTCATTGGGCCCCACTGCCTAGGCCGGTCAGACCGACTTGGGGTGGCCGGCCAAACGGGCCTCGGCTCGGTTAGACCGCCATCAGCTCGGTCTGACCGAATACGGCTCCGGCGGCTCGGGATCGACACACCGAGACGGCACCATCCGGGCCATATGGCCAGCCGGTCAGACCGGCCCGCACACACCAGTCAGACCGGCGTTGATACGGCGGTCAGACCGGCCCTGACATGGCGGTCAGACCGGCGACGCCGGCCGGTCAGACCGGCACTCGGCCAGCGGTCAGACCGGCCTTGGCAAGGCCACACAATGAGCGCACAACTTAAAATGTGGGGAGAGTCTAAAAGCGAGCACAAGTCTAAATGCATAATGACCTAATGTGGCAATTTAAAATCATCTCTTTGCTAGGTCATTACCCCTCTTAATAGTACAGCAAAGCTATAAATAAACTAGCACAATTTTGATCGCCTAACGCCATGATCAAATTAAAATGAAAACACTAGTTTACCGTCTTCTCTTCCTTTAGCTTTGTGCCGTCAATTTTAATTGCGCACACATAATGTGAACCTAACTTAAAGATATAGCTCAAAAGAATGGTTAGTCCACAATTAGCGCTTGTCATTAATTACCAAAATTAACACCGGGGGCCTAGATGCTTCACTTGTGGACAAGCTCGACGCGGGCCGGCGGCAGGGATAGCATCAAGGCGACCGGCGCATTTGGTGGCGGCGTGGCTCCGAAGCCCTTCCTCCTGCTAGATCTGGCGGAGGGAGGGCGCCTCTGGGCGGCCGCCGCTCCTCCCGCCGCACACCGCTGCCGTGGAGGGGAGGGCGCGACCATCACTACCGATGCCGCCTCCCGCCGCTGGGCCGCACCGTCTCCACCTGCCGCCGCCACCTGTCGTCCGCCGCCTCCCCTCTTGCGCCGCGGCCTGCCGCCTCGGCTCTGAGAGAGAGGAGAGCAAAACGAGAGAGAAGACCGACAGAGAGGAGAGGAAAACGAGAGAGCCTTATTTCCTCGGTGGGCCCCGCCGAGGGGAGGGCGCCGTCAGCCGGGCGGAGGGCGCCGTGCGAGGGGGACGGGAAGCGGCGCACTGGTGAGGGGAGAGGGGAGGGCGTCGCTGGCTGCGACGGCAGTGGGGGAGAGAACACCAAGAAAGAGGAAAAAGAATGGAGGAGAGAGGGAGGATAAGGGAAGTCGGGGGAAAACGAGAAGATGAGGAGACAGGAAGGATCGAGAGGCGCCGCTCGCTCCGCTTGCTCTCTCGGTGATAAGTATCAGATCTGACGGGCCTTTCTTTTTAAAAAAAAGAGCACTCTGTATTTTAAAAAAACAACACAAGTATACCATATAATCGGCACATATAGGGATTTATAGGGGTTGGTTTTTAATTTTTTTCGGTTTAAAGTCTAATGGGTCTTTCTTTTACAACTTTTTTATTTCTATAAGGAATATTTTTTTAAGGGCTCATATCATAAAAACTAAATCCTAATCATCTACTATTTTTATATTTGTTATAATTTTAGTTTACCCGTAGCAACGCACGGGTATCTATTTATTAAAATTGTTTAAATAATAAAAAAATTCTTGGCCTGTCCGTCTGCTCTCTTTTTCCTATGTCCTTGTCCTTTTATTTTGTCCCCTCATTGTCTAATCTTCTTTCATTTTTTATGTCAACTTATTAATATTTGACCTCAAATACAATTTGTAAATAAAAAAACAATACTCACTCTCACAAAATTAATAAGATTTATTTTTAAGATTTGTTAAACTCCACACATTTTTATTAGGTAACAATACACAGGTACATTCGCACAAATGTAAAGTGAGTATAGTTTAACTTGATAGGTTTCTTGTGGTGGAACCAGTCAACCTGCATTCAAATATTTGATTTGACACGGGTGCTCGAGGCGTTCGTGGTAACTTCGTCAATCTAAATACTCGTGTTGTGAGTGCGTTTGCACTATGTGTTTCTAAAAATATATATATTCTCGCAATTCAAAGTACATTGAGTACAAAAATTCCACTCGTGTTCTACATAAAAAAAAATATTTCCGTTCATGATACAAATTTTCATCCGTCGCCTTTTGGGCAAAGACAGTCGCATTATTCGTCCATCCATTTTCTCTCATGCTACAAATCATCCAAACTAAACATCATTTCTACAAATATAGAGCAGATTATTTATCTAAAAGCAAACAATTTTTTTAGCAGATTAGTTGACTAAACCAAACAACACCTTTTGTCACTGTACACATTCCGTAATCACCCGGTGCAACGCACGGGCACTTTTGCTAGTTAAATGGATAAAATTTAGAAATTTATTCGTGTCGTTTTCCGAACGCAAATTGCAGATTGTTGACTCCATCTGGTCTTCTCCCCCAATTTCTTGCTCAGTTTTTTCTACACCCAGTTGTACGCAGGTTACTTATTGGATCGATCATGCATATCAATGTGTTGACCAGTTCTTGATGCATATACAATTGTGTGTCATCTCCTACCTTACAATAACAACTAATCTGGCCTGTTGCATTGCAATCAGAGCTTCCGACCTTGCAAAGAATGAGCTGCTAAAAGCATTTCAGTGACAGCTCGAGAGTGTGTCCAAACATGGGGGTTTCTCCATGGATTATCATCTTCTTGTTGAGTGTTATTGTGCTGGTTTTTGTCGCTTCGGCCGACACGAACGCAAGACAGTAAGTATAGTTCAGTTCCTCTTCAGTATTTGTTGCTGCAGTGCTAATTTTGATGTTCTTCTTGTCTATCTCTGCAGCTGCTGGCCTCAATGGGATTGCAGGTAGCTGGGACACGGACACCAAACCATCGAACTGGGGGAATGGCAACGATCCATGTGGAGACAAATGGATCGGGATAATTTGCACCGGGAACCGGGTCACGTCCATGTTAGTATATCAGCATCAGAGATTTGTATATGTCCATGGAGTGATTTTTTTTTCTTGCAATTATGCAGTAATATGAGTAACAAAGATCACTCATGTTGTCTTCTTGTTTCATGGTGTTTTTACAGAAGACTGTCAAGTTTTGGATTGTCCGGGACGCTTTCCGGGGACATTCAGTCCTTATCAGAATTGCAGTACCTGTATGTATTCTCTTCTCTCTGTAGTTTGAGCACTTTGGATTGCGAATTAGGCGTAAACATGTGCATAGTTGGAAATTTGGAAATTTATGCAAACTTCTGAAACGCTTCTGTTTTTGTTGCAGGGACTTATCCTACAACAAGAACTTGCGTGGACCCCTTCCTTCAACCATTGGAACCTTGAGCAAGCTCCAAAACTTGTGAGTAGTTTAACTTTGGAGAAGTTCAGTTAGTCTGCTAACTTGAGATTTTTCAGTCAGTTCATGGATTCTTGTTTGACTTGTCCCCTCTCATTTCTCTGCAGAATTCTTGTTGGCTGCAGCTTTACTGGTGAAATACCAAAAGAGATAGGCCAGCTCTCAAACCTGATATTTCTGTAGGGAACTTAGACCTGATTCTTGATTATGTCTAAAATCTTAGGCCTGCGGTCGCATTCCCTGAACTTCTCTAGATCATATCTAATCTGAAAATAGAATACATCTAATAGATTTATAGTCTGGTTGAAAAATGTTTTAATATAAACTCCATCATTTGAAAAATAAACAATTTCGAACTTTATTGGTTGGACTTTTACCTCAGAATTTAAAGTTCACCTAGTGATGTAGATTGACATGATGGTAACATTGTATATTTTAATCCTAATTTTAAAATATGGCAGGTAAGATTATTTCACTTATTAGCCAACCATGCTTATACAGAGTATCCATTATCTAAAAAAATGCTTGTACAGAGTAAACAGCAAGTAAAAAAATTAATTAATTTCCTCCTGTGAGAGTATTACCTCCATTGGGATAATAGGAATAACAACCAAATGGATGGCCTAAAAAGCTTAACTACAAAAAAAATCCTATAAGCTTGTAACAAGTTAAGAACTTGATCTGGACATTTAGAAAGATAAGTGTGATGCAGTTAAACCTTTTCCCTTTTGGGATAATCAAGTACCTTAGGTATGGAGGAGGTGGTTATCTGGTTTTATTAGTTGGTAATATTGAATTCTCAGGCCTGGTGTTCATCTATTATATTATTAAAACAACCTTTAAAGAAGTCACCATATTCACCGTGAAAGCTAGAAATTCTACATTAATCGAAGAAAATATGAATTATTTACACCGTTAGATTGTTATGTCTATATTTTAACGTCTGAGAAAAGCCTTAATGACATTGCCACCATATATTTTACTTAGCAACCTAACTAGTAGCAAACACGAAGCTTTCTTCTATGTTCCTGTATCAGCCTTTCACGCAGTAATCGCTCGTCGTAATATTCTGCACATATAGTATCAGTATAATATTGTACATTTCCTAAATAAAAAAGTATTGTTCATTGTACTCTATTCCTACAGATCTTTGAATTCCAACAAGTTCAATGGTAGCATACCGCCATCGCTTTGCTGCCTCTCGAAGCTATACTGGTTCGATCTGTCTGACAATCAGCTCACTGGAGGACTTCCCATATCCAACTGGACAAGTCTTGGGTTGGACAATCTAACAAACACTAAGCACTTGTAAGTAAATTACAATATTCTTGATTTCATAAGATTTTTTTTCATTTTCTTTGCTGTTGTCTAATGAATATGTACACACGTTTCGTCACAGCCATTTCGGGACGAATCAGCTCTCTGGAACCATACCTAGCCAGATTGTCAACTCAAATATGAAGCTGATACATCTGTATGACTAACCAAATTCTTCATCCTCCTAAGGAATAAGTCCACTTTGACTTTCTTAAAAGTGACCCAAATCTAATCCATGACCCTGAACCACAAAACCAGATATGTTGACCCCTAAACTGTTAAAACCGATGCAATTTGACTCCCTCGACGGTTTCGCTGATGTGGCACGTTACGTGACGATGTTGACCTAGTCTTCGTCCTACATGGTATTGACGTGGTGCTTACGTGTCATTAGAATTAAAAAAATATGTGCGCCCACTTGTCATTCACAAAAAAAATTTGTGTGACCCACTGACAGGTGGAGCCCATATGTTAGTCTATCCCTTCCTCATCCTCCCGATCTCCCCTTCTCTCTCCCTTTTTTGTTCATGAGCCCCAGTTCGCCATGCCCCATGCCGCCGTCATCGAGCAGCCAGCTCTCCAGCATCGAGAACGCCGGCGCGGGCTTGGCGCCGCCAGTGGCCATCTTGCTGATCTCCGTCGAGCCCTCTGGCGTCTGGGCAGTCGCCGCCGCCATAGCCAATCCGGCCTCCACCTGCTGCAAATGTCTTAAGGGGAAGATGGCGACCCCCTTCTCCGAGCGACGGTCGGCGACCACAGCGGCACCACGCCGCCCCTCTCCTCCTTCCTGCCTCCGCTCATGAATGTAGCCAATCCCCTTGGTTGAGCTCGGAGAAGATAGAATCAGCGCCGCCACTCTCCCTCCCGTTGCCGCCACTCCGGACGCCGCCTGCTGTTGCCGGCCCCTGCTTGCCGAATGGGGAGGGAGAGAGAAGGGGAGGATGAAGAATGTGGGCCCCACCTGCCAGTGGGTCCCACAATTTTTTTAATGACAAATGGGTCCAACATATTTTTTTTAATTCTAATGACAAGCAAGCGCCACGTCAATGCCACGTAGGACGAAGACTGGTCAACATCGCCACGTAACATGCCACGTCAGCGAAACCGCTCACCAAAACCGTCGAGGGAGTCAAATTGCACCGGTTTTAACAGTTTAGGGGTCAAGATATCTGATTTTGCGGTTCAGGGTCATGGATTAAATTTGGGTCAGTTTTAAGGGAGTCAAAGTGGACTTATTCCTCATCATAATTGTGTTTAATTATTGTTGTTAAGCTCAGACCTGAGACTGATTTCTACCATCTGTATATTATCCAGGCTTCTTGACAACAACAAATTATCCGGAAGCATCCCTTCTACTTTAGGCCTTCTTAATACATTGGAAGTTCTGTGAGTACAAGCGCATATTATGGATGAGACAATAAAATTCATAGATTGACACTGCTGCCTTATGTCATGAAGTTCGATCGATGCAGGCGTTTCGATAACAATGCGCAATTGACAGGACCAGTTCCTACCAACCTCAACAACTTAACCAGGCTTACAGAACTGTGAGTTTACTATGTGTGTCTGCTTTATTAATTGTCAATTATTCAATATTAATAGCTTACGCGCTATGCTTTCATTTGACACTAGCCATCTTGCAAACTGCAATCTTACTGGTCCACTGCCAGACCTAACTGGAATGAACGAACTCATGTATTTGTAAGTGATCAGTCAACCCTTCCAATGTTAAAACTAAAATTGACTTTCCATTTATCATACTATGCAACTTTCTGGATGGTTTCATCTTACTAACTTGCAATTCAATTTGTTACAGGTACATGAACAACAATAGCTTCAGTTCATCATTATTTGAATAATCACTAGCCGACGCATTATAGGCTGAGGCGCTATCAGATTCATAATTTACATACCTAAAATAATTATTTGAATAATCACCAGCCGACGCGGTATATATATCCATTAAAAATAGGTCTAACAACATATGTATGAGAATTAATGGTACTTGTAAAATTATTTTGAGAAACATATATATTTGTAAATTTTACCTCAGGCTTGGTGTAGTAGGGAAACGGTGTAGTTCTATGGTATGCTCGTCCATATGTGCCTTTAGCACAGAAGCTTAACTCCTAGTACGATGGCTGTGTACACTTAACAAAAAATCTAACAAATTGATCTGTTAGTGCAAATAGAAGCCTTTGTTCACACGTAGCAGGATCGCAGCACTGGCGTATGTCTTGGCTCCCTGTACACACGACGACCACTTAACCCGAGATTGCTACCTGGCGATGGATCGCCAGGGGCGATCAGGATTCGGTCCTCCCTTCCTTCCACCTGATTTTCTTTTTTGGCACCGTATTACTTTCCTAAATTTATGCATCTAAAGTTTGTACATTTCAAGTTCAAGTTTAGGGACCCAAAATTTATAAATCAAGTTTATATATCCGATTCAAATTTAAATTTGAATTCAAATATTTTTTATATATAGTACATCTAAAGTTTATACACCTAAAGTTTATAAACCTAAAGTTTATAAGTCAAAATTTACATACCCGATTCAATTTTGAATTTGAATTATATCCGATTCAAATTTGAATTTGAATTCAAATATTTTTTATATATAGTATTTCTATGCATCTAAAGTTTATACACCTAAAATTTATAGACCCAAAATTTATAAGTCAAAAGTTTACATACCCGATTCAAATTTGAATTTGAATTCAAATATTAGTTTATAGACATAAAGTTTATAAGTCAAAAGTTTACATACCTGTTTCAATTTTGAATTTGAATTCAAACTTTTTATATATAGTATTTCTATACATAAATTTTTTCAACTTTGTGTTTTTTTTAAAAAAATAATTTATGGTGTAGTAGGAAGAGAAGAATAAGAGGAGGAAGGAAGAGAGTAGTGTATAGGGGGGATGGGGTTGGGGGGGTGATCTTTATGCTACTATGGTTTTGATGTCTTCTTGTGTCGCTATCTGAGGTTTGAAAGTGAGTAAAGATCTGAAGCTAAGGTAAATAATAGGTTAAAACAGAAGAATGATAAGAATAAAGTACCTCTCTGAATAGCTACTTTCTTACTTGACTTTCTGATCAATAGAAAAAGACTTGCTGTCCTCAAGTTCAAGGCCTTAGAGTGAGAAGGGAATTACGTGGTACCTCTCTTTTTCAATAAGCATTCTACCACTAACTATGTGCCTGGCTATGGTTTGTCAACTCTTACCTTTTGGTATGAGAACGGATGCTGGAGGTAAATGGATACACAGCTACTGCCTGACTTCTCAGATTTCAGTATGGAACAAAAATCCATCTTGGCTAGCTATTCGGGAGGACTTCTCCATCGGATCAGAACATGAATTGTAGGGCATACTTAGTAGATGCAGATATAGGTATTCATTATTCTTCCTCAGATGGGGAATGGGCCAAGCCGATCCGTTGTTGGCACTGAAAGTGCATTTGCTAGTTTGAAAGGAGCTGAATTCGGGTGGGATTCAAAATGATTCTTATGTTTCGTAGCATGCAGCGCAGACTCACTTGGTAAATAGCCTTCCATAAAAGAGGCAAGGTGCTCACACATGAAATTCCCTTTCTTCGTGCACTCATTTACTAGATAGTCAGGAACCTTCTTTTGACTTGACCAGCTTACTTGTATAGTATAGTAGTAGGCATTTGCTTCTGAACGACCTTACGAATGGATCAACTAGAAATGAATCGGTGTCATAAACGAATTTAGCTAACCGTTGTAGTAAATAGCATGACACCAAGCAATCGATCAAAGCCAACTCAAAAGAAAGCCCATCCCTTCATCCAACGTGAAAATATTCTCAAGAAGAAGCCAAAAGAAAGAGAGGTGAAACAGAGTAGAGAGAATCAGGTGCTTCCAGTGATTAGTTATCAAAAAGCACTGTTTTCCAGATCGGATTCGATCACAGTCCCATAAGCAGTAGGGACCACGAGTGAGCATGAGCCTATTTCGTGATCGGCTAGTTGCTCAAAAAATCGTATAAAAATCAAGCAAGAAAACGTATGCGCTTTAGCAACAAAGCGCTCATCCCTTGTTCTTTCACGCTAGTTGCTCAATCCGTTGCTTGCTTCTCTTCTGTCTTGGAAAAGTGAGGATTTCCTATCTGATCCAAGGGAAGGAAGAGAGGTGGAAAGTGTTGCTGTGTCAAATTGAGATTGTGTGGGTGTTCAGTCTACCGCTCATGTTCGACGCTATCGAAAATCATGCATTGGATGGATGCCCGGGCATTTAGAAGGAAGGACGCTTTCAGAGGTGAAAGGCCATGGGGAGAGAGAGCATCCGTGATCCATGGATCTCCGATCGGGAAACCGTATCCAAGCTCCGTGGCTAGTCTGCGCTCTTTGGACTTTTCAAACTTAGCGAACTAAAACATCTGAGTAGCTAAAGGAAGGAAAATCAACCGAGACCCCGTTAGTAGCGGCGAGCGAGAGCGGAACAAGGGTTTTCATCAAAAGAAATCCGGAGCAGTTTCATTCGATTTGTTGTGGATTGGATGATGGAAAAACTAGCAAGCAGCAAGCGTAGGCTATGTTGCCGTAGCGCGCCCTACGGAGTTGTACAAAGTCAGCAACCATTTTGGGGCGCAAGCATAGGCAACACAGGACTGATGACGGGGTGGGGCGCGCAGTGAACTGGTTTTCTAAAAAGATTGGAAGATCCGGCCAAAGAAGGTGATAGCCCTGTTCATTTGTTCCCATGGTTCGATCCTTCCCAGTAAAACGCGGCGTGTTCGAATGATGATCGCTTTTACGCGAGAAAGGGGGACCACCCTCTAAGCCTAAGTATTCCTTAATGACCGATAGCATACAAGTACCGTGAGGGAAAGGTGAAAAGAACCCCAATCGGGGAGTGCAATAGAGAACTTGAGATCCGATGCGAACAATCACTCGAAGGAGCGAAGCGCGGGCGCACTCACTCTAACGGCGTACCTTTCGCATGATGGGTCAGCGAGGAAATGGGAACAGCGGCTTAAGCCATTAGGTGTAGGCGCTTTCCAGAGGTGGAAGATTTACGTTCTTCCTATTTGACCCGAAACCGATCGATCTAGCCATGAGCAGGTTGCAGAGAGCTCTAACAGGCCTTGGAGGACCGAACCCACATATGTGGCAAAATACGGGGATGACTTGTGGCTAGGGGTGAAAGGCCAACCAAGATTGGATATAGTTGTTTTTCCGCGAAATCTATTTCAGTAGAGCGTATGATGTCGTTTGCCTGAGGTAGAGCACTTGGGTGCTAAGATCCGAAGTCGAGAGGGAAATAGCCCAGATCGTACGCTAAGGTCCCTAAGCAATCACTTAGTGGAAAAGGAAGTGATCGAGCGATGACAACCAGGAGGTGGGCTTGGAAGCAGCCATCCTTTGAAGAAAGCGTAATAGCTCACTGGTCTAGCACCATGGCACCGAAAATGTCTCAGGTCTCAAGTGATCCACCGAAGCGACGAGACCTTGAAAGCTGCTTTTTCAAGTGTCAGTAGCGGGACGTTCTGTCAATCGGGGAAGGTTTTTGGTGACAAGACCTGGAGATATCAGAAGTGAGAATGCTGACATGAGTAACGAGAAATCCTGTGAAAAACACGATCGCCTGCCAGTGGAAGGCTTTCTGCGTTCAGTCAATCTACGCAGAGTGAATCGGTCCCTAAGGAAACCCCGAAAGGGCTGCCGTCCGATGGGTACACTAAAGTGACGAAGTTGCTTTGACTACTGAACCATGCCTGGATCGTCGGAGCGAATTGGATGATCGAGCCGAGGGCTGCCCCCTCTTCCCCTCGCTCTCCTTTCCTTAATATTCACCGTCAAGTCATCAAAGCCGTCAACTAATTCAGAGGGGCTCAGCTGGCCCGGTCGCCCTACGCTACTGGCGCTTCCTAAGGCGAAGCTCTCGTCTTTGGCAACCAGCAAACTCAGGGCTAAAACCTGTAGTTTTGAAGCAAGGGATGAGTGCGAAAGCCATTGCGCTTCCGTACACGTGCATACGTTTTCTTGCTTCGTCGCGCGTTAGTACAATAACGCACAGCCGTTTTCTTGCTGGGGCGGACACGGATTTCTCTCTAAAGGCGAAGACTCAGAAGTGGGCGAACACTCGGCCCAGCGGGCGAACATGCCGGCTCCGGCTCCGCGCACCTGTTGACACCTTTCGAAGCACTTTCACGTGTGAACCGAAGTCGTCTTGCCGAACTCCTTCCTTTCTTATTTCAGTCCTTGCCTTTTTCATCTTCCGTAGGGGCCTTTAGTCTTTTGATTAGACTAGAGGTCGCGAGAGAGCAGAGCGTACCGCCCTTCCATAGTCACGAGGATCTTAATAGTCGGTCGCGACTATTGTCATAGTCAACGACGGTTGAAACTTCTTGGAAAAAACTTCGAATTGGGAGGGCGATCCTCCCGGTGAGCTGACCGTACCCCAAACCGACACAGGTGAACAAGTAGAGTATACTAGGGCGCATCGAGAGAACCATGTCGAGAACTCGGCAAAATGACCCCATAACTTCGGGCCCAACTATCCCACCTGAACTAACCAGTTCATTAAGCCAATTTAGGGTGAGAATAATCACGGTGAATCTGGTCGATCGCCCATAACCGCGAGCAAGGCTATTCGAATAGTTTTACTCTGGCCAGAGGTGCACAACTGTACCCACAAGACACAATCCACCGGCATGTCACCATGCCTGCGTAGACACGTGACCATGTCGAGTGATTGTGACAAGACCCTTCGCATAACTCTCCTCTAACCATCCACACCACGCTGAGGTTTCACCCCCACCCCTACCCCGAGAGTGGGCAGTCCCCCCATGCACCGCGGTAAATCCAGCAGCTGGACAACCGGACACTCGGCCGACCCAACTCCATCATGCCCACCCTCGCCACTGGTGCCTAGGAAAGGGTCTGTTGATGCGAAAAACACACACTGGCCTAAGAGATTTGCTTTACTCTAGTGCAGGTCTAAAGAATTGCTTTCGGTTTCTGATCGTGCCAGTTGGTTTGATCTTGCAACCAACAAGAAATAACAGAAACACAGTTAAGTCTTCAAACGATAGCCGATCGGTTGTACTGCCGATGACGTATCGTTCAATATTAGGCCGATGTGATGTGAACCAGATCG